CCTGCGGGCGATGCGGCTGCGTTTTCGGCTATGGGCTGCCTCAGACCTCAAGAACAGACGAATGAGACATGGCAGGCCGCACCAAGCAGGCTGATCATGTCCCTCCGTCCCCTGCTTCAGCCTGGTTTTTCCGACCCCATCTCTCTCATCCTTGTCCGACCTCCCCCATATTCCTCACGTCCGCGTTCGTCCCCCCCCTCCTCCCCATTGCTCATTGCTGTTCCTTCCCGTCCACTCCTCCTTTCCGATGGTCCCATCCATTCCCTCCCCCACTGCCTCCTCCACCCCCTCCCGTCCCTTCCCTCCCCCCATCCCTTCCTTCTTGATGTTCTCCCTCCTGTCCATTCCCATCCCATCCCATCCCTTCTCCTCCGACCTGATTCCTGCCGTGCCCTCCATCCTCCGTTTCCTGCTTCCCCGCTGCCGTCTAGCGAATCGCCCCTCAGGGCGTCCTGGCCCAGGATCCAGCCGTAAGCGTTTTGCCCGGTCTTTCGGCTCCTGTGGCAGTAAGAAAGCCGCACACACGCGGGAGGGATCTATGAAGGAGGACACCAGCTAGACACCTACGCCGATTCTGCCCAAGCCACTCCTGGGCCCAAGATCGGCGCATACGCCCTCCTGGCTTGACCAGAAGGTGTACACACCAAGTCTTGACCCAGCATTGGCCTGGGTAGGATCGATCAAGGTGGACAGTTGTGACGCGCATCTCGACGCCTATCGAGATATGTTACTGCATGAGGACACATGTCCAACGCAGGGGGTAGTTCAGACAAGTGCCACGGGTGCGCAAGCTCACTCGTGCGAACGAGCAAGTTCAATGACATGTCCCCAAAACTGACGCAGCATGCATGCTTGCAACACTTCTGAATCCCCTCGACAAGGGGAAACGAATTTAGCATAGTCATAAGAATCCCAAGCCTGCAGGCCCCACTGGGAGACCGAAACAGCCATGGCGCCTGGACGGTTAACTTATGTAATCTGACAGATTGTACGTAGATTGAATGTGCGCGTTAGTTTTAGGAAGGAGGACTCAGGTAACGAGGCAGATGACGAGGATAAGAACGTATACGAGCAAACGAACGGAAAATATAACACATATCATGTTCCTCTCCGTGTCGACCCGTCCGCCTACCCGGGACATCATACCAGGCAGATTTGCATCCCACAATAGAGCCCACACAATCATGTTGAAATGGGCGCCAGAAAGATAGGAACAATGAAATTAACAGAGAAGCTGCACTTGTGTTTGATTGATGTTTCTTCCCGTTCATCCCCTCCTTCCGCTGAGTGAACATGGTTTCGTTTCCATTTCAGATACAAGTCAAATTAGCTCCAACTATGTGTCGGCTTGCTCGTGATCTCATTGCACCGACCTTGCAGACGTGCTGCAGCAGATTCTTGCGTGGATTTAACCCAGAAGCGGCGAGCGAAAAACGAAGTGAATTTCACGTGGATTCATTGTAGTTTTTATCCCTAGCCAAAAAAGTCCGAACGAAATTTACTTCAAAATCCGGAACGAAATTCTACCGGACCGTCTGAGCCCATCCCATTGTTCTCCGAACGACATCCGCTCTGCAATGTTGGCGCCATGAAATATCGAAACTGATTCCCACGAACTACGTTGCTGGCATAACGCAAAGCATATCTCAAGCATGGAAACAATCATTGAAGGGGGTTGTAGCTAACCCATCATACCTGAAATTACTGTTTTGCCATACCTGATGGCACACTAGCTCCACATACTTGTGTTTCTCACGGGATGAACCACTGCATGAAAAACCCTGCCAGCAAGCAGGACTCACGCGCTTTGATTTCAACAAACTCGAGCATGAAAGCGTGGAACCTCAGATCTTCATCGACTTGCGAAGCATCGCGTGCTGAACTTGTCATTGTCCTCCCCACCTCTTTCGGTGTTTCTTGTTTGCATGCTGGCAACTTCGTATCACGGATCAGGAGAGCTTCAATGAAGGGGCCCTGGGACACACAAATAAATACACACATAAACAGAGTCCCCATATTTTCCCATTTTCGGGGTTTCTGTCTTCCCCCCCACTTCCCATGTTTTTCCATATTTTCTGGGAATCGACGAATAATTGTGTCTGTGTGTTTTTTCCCCTCCTGATTCAAGACCGCCCGCAAGCACCAAGGTCCCCGGGGCAGCCCCACGGACGGCCCAAGAGTGCCCCCCAACGGAGCCGCAGGAGAAAGCAGGATGCCTAGCACAAGACTGCCCCAAAGAGGGCCCTATGAGAGAGAGGGCCCGTAGGGCAGACGAGTCTGCCCCAGCATGACGCCGGGCCGCGTGCCTCGCTCACTTGTGCTCTCAGATGTCTTGCCAGCGTTTGCGCTGCCTTCCACTGTGCCGCTTGGCATAGAAGTGGTGCCAGGGGTGCCACTCCACGAGCCTCGCGCCCCAATGAGGGCCCTGGGAGGGCCCCGCAACGGCCCAAGAGGGAGGCCGCCCAGAAGGACGAGGAGGGCTCCAAAACTAGCCCACGAGGCCCCAAACCCTCACAAGCCCCGCTTCGCTTGGCGGCAAGAGGCAGGAGAGCCCAGGATCGAATCGACGAGTCGCATCGGCAATCGAAACAAATCCGATCGGCGGAAACCGGCAGCCAAGCCGGGAGAAGTCGCATCGACGGAGATCGGCAGGCTGGCAAGGCCCCCATTGAGAGAGCAACAAACCAAATCAGGTCGAATCGGAATCGGAATCGATCAAAACCGAACGGCATCGAGACAGAGGAGTCCAAACAAGCCCTGACAGGGGGGCAGCGGCAGCGGCGACTCGACTTACCAGAGATCGTCGATCCTTTCGAAGAGGCCCCCAGATGGGATGCAGGAAGATGGCAGAGCGCCGAATCATGTAAGGCGTGGTCTTGCAAAGAAAACAAAGATCCTCGTCCGAACCACCATTCACCTTTCCAGTGCCATCTTGAGTTTCGGCTGCTGTTGAAAGAACTCGTGAACACAACATGTGCAGACAAATCTGGATGCCTGAAGCAATAGTTTCAACGAGGGCAAAATACCCCCTGAGAAAAAAGAATGCAGCCGCCTGTGAACCCCCGAACCACCGGACAGGCCAGCGCACGGTCGCCCGGGGCGCAAAACCTAACAGTAAGTCCCACGGCCCCGAGACGGGGTTCAAGAAATTAATCGGTGCAACGCTCGGCTAAATCTGACAACGTGCCCTGCCTGAGAGTTGCAACGATTATTCGATTCGTGTCGCCTGGACAACGGCGCCTCAAGGTCCAGACCATCAAGCGGAGCGCGGGAGCCAGAACCAGTCCACGGTCGCCAACGACATCTCGGCGTACACAGGCTGGATGGGAAATCAGTAAGAAGTCCTGAACGAGCTCGCTGCGGTCGGGTTGCGAGCTGAGGTCTTCGGAGGCTGGAGTTGGGAACTGGCGCGGAACCACAATTCGCGCGTGAACAGCAATTCCGAAGGTCAAGGCAGCGCGATTGCGAACAACGCCGAAGACGAGGCTCTATCTGTAGCGCGCCAGACCGGGACGTCGCAGCAAAGGGCAAAGCCAAAAAGATGGCGGGAGCGCGACGCCGCCTTTGCCAACATCGGCGAGACCAGCGCGTCGGAAGCGTTCATCGCGGACTTCGAGCGCGCCTTCTCGATCGAACCGGCGACACCGAAGCCAGGCTCCGCGACCAGGCCACCGTTGCCGGCCGAACTCGAGTTGCACGTCTGGCCGATCAAAGCTGGCGTGACCGAGAAGAAACCAAAACAAACAAACAAACAAACAAGCAAAAAAAACACAACGAACGATATCACGCGCTTGATGAAAAACTCTTAACCGCGAAATGAGTTCAATTGAGGTTCGCGGCGTTCCCAAAACACTGGGAATGCAGCCACCGCCAAGTCTCGAGGAGCATCCACCCTAATCATACAACATCAGCCATATGGCACCAGACAACGATCGAGCCATCGCGATCATCACAAGTATTGTAAATCACAGGCCAGAAGGCACCACCCACATGCCGCCAGGACAAGAACACGAGCAAGCACCACCAGAAAGAAAAAAGACCGCACATCGAAAACAAACATCTATTCCTAGATAATGAATATGCTAGCCGTATCCCAACGCGAATGTGGCAGGAGATCAGGCGAAATGGAAACGCGAATCCTCTATTCGAAAACTTAAACCTGGCAGTCATGATGTGTGTATATATACATGTGTGTGTGCGTGTGTGTACGCGTGTGCATGCGTAGTGCGCCCCCCACATGCCCGATCGCCGGAACAGTCACCCTCTGCCCAGCCGCCGACAAAAAAAAAATGTGCATGCGTACAGACGGATGAAAATCGAGTGAGAAAGACAAGAAATCTGGAGAAAATAGAAAACAGAAAAAAGAGAGGCAGAGAGAGAGGGAGAGACAGAGAGAAAGAAAGAGAAATAACCATGCCCTGACAGACAAGCACACACACAGCCAGAGAGACCAGAAAAACAAACAAACAAAAACGATTTCGGGACAATATTCTCTTTTGACGAACATGAAGAACTGCACAATTCGTAATGCCATTGGTGGACAAGGGCCCGACATTCTGCGAAACAGCGGCGGGCAACATTGTCTGAAATCCTGCTAGCAGCCGCACGTGGTTCCACCGTGGGATCAAATGCTGGAAAACTGGTATTCCGCGACGACCATGAAAAACACGCTAACAACTGTGTTCGAATCCTTGCTGGGGAAAGGCCGGGCACCTCTCCCCTGCCCAAACAATACGCGATGCAGGCACCGCCTTCTTGCAGCTGCTTCCAAATCGCGGGTGTAAGCGCAATGAACATGCGACCAAAAAACGCCCACCTCAACGCTGCACGTCACAGCGGCAAATCGGCATACATGTGCGCGAGCAAAGTCACGGTAAAATCATACATTCGCACGGGTGAACTACCTGTCCAAAACGGTTTCCAACATCCATAACAACCTGAACTAATCCAGCGGCACGTGCCTCTTCACAGCGCATACATGTTGCACGCTACCCGCAACAATATCTAAACGACGAAATCATGAGCGAAAGCAAGCAAACACAACAAACTTACATCATCAGAAAACAACAGGATCCGCCGACCCTGTCGGCGTGTGGAAGATGCTGTTTCGTTTGACTCGTCGTCGTCGTCGCGGTCATAATCGTTGTCGTCGTCGTCGTCGCCTTCGCCGCTCGCTTCCCCCCTTCTCCCTAATAAGGCCCGTCGCCGTTCCCCCCGCTTTCCCCGGGTTTTCCTCCTCGAGCGCGCCATCGAAAGGAAACCCCTTCCCTTTGATCCGTTCTGGGGGGTCCCAGGGGCGAGGTTCCAGGGGGGGGTCCCGGGGGGGGCCCGGGAGGGGGTCCCGGGGCAGGGGTCCTGGGGGGGCCCCGCCGCCGGCCAGGGCTCCCAGAAGACACAGACACCATCTGGTTGAGCCGCCTTTCACAACAGCACCCGATTTGTCTTACGCTCAGCACTTGGTGCCGTTCGCATGTATAACCTTCTCCCTGACTTCATTG